TCGGGGCTTAGAACTATACCGGTGGAGTAGCTTTCTTGGCTTTCTTGGTGTTCTAATTTCAAACGAGAAAAGTGGCTTTTCCGATGATGAAAGAGACAAATAGGCGGCTTATATGATGTTGCTTGATAAGCTTTCTTAGCTACCTGTGTGAATCCCAATGCGTATCATTATCCGATATGAAGGCATATGAGAAATACGAAATTGTTTCAGATCTTTCAGCAATGAAATCGACATTAGACAGATTTCCTTGATGTGTTCGTTGCCATTTCGATGGGGTAGTCCAGATACACAGAGATATGCATCGCCGATGGTCTCCACCTGCCATGCTTTTCATTTATTAGCTTCATCATAATCATGTCTTTTACCTTATATACGTCTCTTTTTTCTATGGTGCTATCAAAGGTCGTGTAAAAATCGTTTAACAAGTCGACTACCTAAAAAAGTAACAAATGCTTGGCTTGTATAGTGAAAACAATAAACTATAATACGTACCTGCATGGGAGTGCACTTTGCGGACAGCTCGGTGAAAGATACTATGTCCGAGAAGAAGATACTAACGCTGTCGAACGCCTCGGGTATGACTGCATGGCCCTGCCGCAACTTCTCCGCTATTTGTCTTTGATGAAAAGACCACTACCATGAGTAAAAAGGGTGTATGCAAAAAAACTTTATTTCTTATACCAGTCAAGGTAAAAAGACTTACTGCAAGAATTGTCATACATGAAATAACGCAATATTATAAGTCTCTGATTCATGCTACCAGCAAAATGTGGCCATAAAGTAAGATTAACGCAAGCAGGTAAGCAAATATCACATTTCATAGAAAAAAGGTTTTATACTGTAGGCGACTTTCAAACCACATCAACAGATATGCTAGAACTTATTTTGTAGACCTCTTTGGCTTGCGCTGGACTTTAAATGATGTTTGGCGCCCTTATTTAGGAATCACGCCTTACTTTGCCAATTCCAGTTTTTAGGAACTGTAAAGTTGGCTCGTGCACCGTTCGTTTTTTTT